TTTAAATTTGTTAGAAATTTATTTTTCCTGAATAATAAATTCTGTACGAATAATAATGCCAAATGAGAGACATACGAATGCTATCTGTTGTTATAACTATAATACGTGTTTTAAAATAAAATCAATTTTACTATACTTTTTTATTTGCAGCTAATGCTTCAGATACCCTTCCAGAAAATTTAGAAAGTATTAACAAAGATCCTTCAAAAAAGAATGATTCTTCAAATATAGGAGATGGTCCAATGGATCTTTGCATAAAAATTCCTAACTTGTATCGTTTGCTTGATTTACGGAAAGATATGGGATCAAATGGCTTTAGTAAGATATATTTAATCCGTTTTTGTGAATTTAGTTTGCATAAATTGACTGTAATCTTTTATTTTAGCGGTTGACAAGATCATTATTTCTCAAAATTCTTTGAAGAAATTCTGTAATGATATGGTGCCAAATTGGTTTAAATCAATTTCAGAAATCGATTTTAAGTCTTTGAATTCTAAATCAATTAATATTATTGGAGTTTACGGAACTCGTGATAGTATTGCAAAATATTTGTTCCAAAAAAAGTTTATTGATGGAAAAATGTTAGTATATAAAATTAATCTTAATCTGTTCTACGCCCATTCTCACATTTCTCGAAATTATGGCTATTATTTCATTATTTATTAAGTACTCACATGAGAGAATAGCTGTTAAGATGCTAATTTTAATATCTGTTACATTTTCATTAATTATTGCTTATATGTTTTTTAAGCCACTCACAATTAGCACCCCAACTAATCAATGAAAATAATACAAAAAATGGACCATCTCTTAAGGCTGGCATCTATCTAATATAAAAATGAACATGGGTTGATTATTCATTGGCCCGAAGAAAATTGTTATAATATTCACGCTTCCTATCAAAAAAAGAAAATTGCAGTAGCTCTTCATAGTTCATATAACTTATACTCTATTTTCTTAATAACGATGGAGTCTGAATCTCACAGTCACCACCAAAATGTTACACTCAAACCACCTCTTAGTCGGTTCGATGCAACTGGGG